TGGGCAGCACTGTCTTCATCCTGCATCATCCCAACACGCTGTCCGTTGGCCAATGTTCGCCTGTCCGCGAACGCGTGTTGCTCGACGAGTACATAAAACTGGCGCCACAAGTCTGCACACAAAATGGCAACCCTCTTGGCCCGTACCCGGAATGAGTCCTCCGTACCCTCGTACTACCACCAACCACCCGGACAAGCCGAGGACTTGCGCTCCGGCAATGTCTTTATCGGCGGCACTGCTTTCCTTCCCGCCGTCCGCTTTATTATACAATCGTAATTTCGTATCGTAAAAGCGGGCGTCGAAAAAATGTGAAAGAAACTTTTCGTGTTGCGTGCAGGACCTCGCTCTATTGGTCTTTTCGGAATGGGAATTGAGGGTGGCAGTTTTCAGAGTCGAGCGTGGGGTCTCCTCGTCAATCGATACGAAGCAGATCCAAAGCATTGCAGCGTTTCTCTTTTGAGGTATGCTTTAAAGAGCTTTTGGGTGTGGTCTCCATTGGGAGAGCAATAGGAATTGGCTCCAGGAGAGGCACTCTCGGCCGACTCTTGACCGCGAAAATGGGTCACCAGTTGCCAACGGTTATTGTTGCAAGTGCTGCAGGGTATGGCGAAAGTGAACGACAGTCAAAAAAATGAGTTCCCAGATAAGAATTTAAATAAAAACCAATTACTGTGGACGACGAGCATTTTTGGTGGCTTCTTTTCCATAAATCCAAAAAATGTTCAAACATGGAAAGTCATTCATCTACGAGTTCTTAATTAATTTTCCTATAGCTAGAAAGGTACTGAAGGAAATTTATTTTCTGTTTTTAAATATTATGCGAAAAAAAGAGAAATTTGGTAGATTCCAATTTTACCCCCCAAAAAATCAGTATTATGCCTAGTAGTACAAAGCCAGAAATATGGAATATGGAATGCAATATGTCGTTGAGCTTGTTTTTCGATCCCTAACATAATTGCATTAAAATCTGGAGAAGTTAAATTTTTGACTTTTTTTTCAAAAATATGATGCTGGCCCTTATCAGAAATGCGAAATTCGGTAAATTCCGATTTGACCACCAATCTATCAGTGTAATGACCATCAAATAGCCAAAAACGGTCGAATTGTGGAATGTAATACGTCCCTGAACTTGTTTTTCAATCTCTAACAAAATTGCATTCAAATCTCGAAAAGTCAAATTTTTGGATTTTTTCTCCGTCTCCGTTCAACCGTGTTCATATAACTAGTATATTTTTGCTATTCCCCCTATAATTCTTAACTACATTGTATTCCTAGACGTTACTCATACGCCCCGTTGGATTCCACTTTTTCGGAATCCCGCTCTAAGTTGGGCCAAGTATTTTTTATGGTTTTGCGTGAACCATAAAAAATGCGGCATGCAGCAAGACGATGCACGCAGTCAACAATGTGGCACATTGTGCCACAGTTGGCACGGTATCTTTGCTGTTTGAAGTAGCCCATTATACAAATCTATTATGATATATTTCGATTAGTGAGATCGTCGCTGACAGGCAGCCATTTGATTTATATGCCCGAATGGATGAGCATTAAGATGTTGCCATAGAGCAATAATCAATAACCGATGCTTGTCTCCAATTTGGGGACAGGTTGGCCATCGATCGAGTCATTTAACCTGCCGCGGCAATGCCTCTCCGCCTCGGCATGTTAATCTCTGTCGCGTTGAACTTCGATTTCCACACCGCTCACACCGCGGCGAAAGCCAATACAAATACACCTTGTGGTGCTTGCAAGCAAAGAAACGAGATTCGAGCACCTGAATCTGCAAACAATAGGTAAGGCCAACGGACAAATTATACATCAACGTTACAGGCTTATACAAAAGTGACCGATGAGTAATACCTTCATCCTTAAGAAATGGAAAGAGAAGGATGCGTTTATTCGTCCATATGTCCGTTTTTCCATATGAAAAATGAGATCCCCGGAATTATATAAGCTAGAAAATTGGGAATACAAATTCAGGTTATAAGGATGCCTTTTCAGCTTGAGTTTATTTCAATAATTCCAAATTTAAATAACCTCTTTTGTGATAACTGGTTTCGGCATAGGAAGCCCTTGAATAATATGAACAAGTCTGTTAACAAGTGGAAGACGGACTGCCTCGCCATCCCCTAATATAACTTTGCTGTCCCCTCCAACGCCTACCCATATAAACAGAACTTACAGATAAATCAAATGACTGGAAGCTGTAAGCCTTGAGTTATGGGCAATGAGCCATAAGCACTGAGACAGCAGAAAGTCTGATCGACAGATTCTGACTGGTAAATAATTCCTGGTCCTCATTTTACCCAATATCTGGCCGGCATTAGCTCATCCGGCATTTCCGCTTTTCAGCGCTCGAAGTGCATTCATTATATTATAAATGTAAATTCCCACCGATCTCTTCCCCTAACATCCCGTCTATCGATCAGTAATAAATGTCGCCCTTTTGCGTCGCAGACTCCTGCACCTCATGTAACACAATGTCCATTCATATTTATTACCACAAGGTCATTCGCGACTCGAATTGCCCTTCTGGGGAAGATGGACTTCCCGAAAAGCTGTCGCTATTGTCGGAACAGTCTCAACAATATATACCCATTGCTCTAAGTTCTGGACAAATGTAATATGTAAAAAAAAACGTTCATTACTATAAAATGTTAAGAGGGGGTTAGCCTTATTGTGGGCCACAGACGCACATAAGTGAGCTTCTTCGATTGCAGTTCGGAAAGTGCGAACAGGCGCACAGCAACCGGATGTCAGTCTCTTGTAATCTTCGCTGTCGACCTCTCGGTGTGAAATTGGACCAGATACATACGGAAGCCGTACTGCACTATAGCCCACGAGTAACTAGCTCCAGTATGGTAAAGAATTAACAAGGTTGGTAAAACTAATTCGTCGAAAATAAACCAAAATTTCTTCTATTACGGAAATTGTATGAAAATCGTTTACAATAATTTAGAAAACCAATTTTTAAAAATAAAAAAATGGAAAAGAAATGATAAACGTTCATTTAGTGGCTTCCCTATTTGCCCGACCGCTGCTGTCCCAAAGAGTGCTTAAGTACGCTTCTCTGAACACTTTTTTGGGACACTTTTTGGCACGCTTCTGGCGTCGCAACTGCTGCAATTATTTCCATATGCCACCGCCTCACTTGCAAACCCGAACCCCCTCCCGCCGTACATGTGAAATCGACTGCGCCGCTTGGCGCTTTTTAATGCTGATTTTATTCCTTTATAAATTCGCTATTAGATGCCAACGGCGGCAACGGCGACATAGAACTTTTCTGTGTTGGAATACTTGTATTTTCTTCAAAGTTGTTATTTTTGCTGCCCCAGTGGGTTCTGCTATTGCTATTGTTGTTTTTGTCTCTATTGGAGCTCGGTGGCCAATCGGCTCGCACATGACGCGATTGCCGCCGAATGGGGGCTGTGCATGATGCGAATCAAGGTCTATTTTTAGATCCCACTATACATTCACTGGGACCGAAGACGCACGAATTAACACGAAGCTACACGAAGCTTTCGCTTTTTGCCGCTCTTTCGGCTGTCGCGTGTAAACGTGAGTGGGACAAACAAACGGTGTGCGAAACGGAATGGCATGAAACACACTCTGTGCTCTCTCTATTTCACTGAGCATTTGTTATTGTTTTCCTCTGACTTTGTAGCCGGCGTTTTTTTTTGTTGCCGGTGTTTAAGCTCCATCTTACACCCCATCACCTTTGCAAACGCAGATTGATTCTTTAGCAACTCCTTTTACAGCTCCTTCTCATTCAATTGGCCTTATTTAAGCTTTGTCACGTCTACGCTTTCAGTCCGCCTTACGTCGTCTTGTTCATGCACCGTTAATATAGCTGATAGCTGATAACCGATAACGGATAACTGTGGGCTCCTTATCACGGCCATGAGTTTTGGCTTTTGTTGTTGGTATTTAAGCAGTAATTGGTTTGCACTAACATATGTACACATAATAAATCGTATCTATGTATGTACATGTTATTTAATAAAGATTAAGTGTTCTTTTAATATATAGGTGTTAGAAATCTCTGCTATCCAAAGAATTGTATATAATATATATTAATTCTCCAAAAAAATATATCGAACTAACTCAGTTTTAAGATACTGCAACTCAGCCGACTGCGCAGCTTAGCTTGGCAAAAAGAGAGTAAGAGGGACAGAACATAAAAGATTTTCAAGGTCACGGCGCCGCTGCCGATGTCGCTGCATTTGAAATCCGAATGAGCGTGAGTGTGCAGCGATTCCAATTCCAATCCCAAGCGTTCCACAACAAGTAAAAGGGAAATGGGTGGCGTGGGAGGTGGTTAATGGTGGGTCACAAGATTCACTGGAATATGCGACAGCTTTTTTTTTTCGCACTAAATGCAAATCACTAGGTAATCGATCGCCAGCAAAATACCCTGTCATCTCCTTGCTAAGCAAATTTCATAATTTCTTTTTTCTTTTAACTGTGAAAGCCCAACAGCTAAAAACCGAAGAGCAGTCAAACACACACCCACACCAACTCGATTTTCGGATATCTACGCTGCCGTTCCGATTCCATCTTCACCTCTACTTCCCATACGTCAGATGCGTCTAAAAAAAGGGGCTATTACTTGGTTTTATGTATGCACATACATACATATGGATGTACAAGTTTAGTTTAGTTGCTTGAAGTTTAGGTTTTCCTGCGTTAATCTCAAACACACTCTCGTACACAAAATAAGGCCATGTTCTTTAACATCTGTGAACTCATTTGTGGAATTCATCTTTTAGATACGTATCAATTTTAAATGGAATGAAATGTTGTGGCGTTAGTATTACCCCTGTTAATATGGAAATGTGACAACGCCCCTGGTCGATGTTTGTGGTGCGTTTGTTTATTTGTTTGGCGTATCCCGTTGCCAATCGTTCCGCCGGGCGGTCGGGGCGTCGCGACGACTCGACGAAGCGGCGCGTTGGTCGTTCGGTCTTTCTGTCGGGTCAGTTGCCAGTCGGTACATCAGTGCCTTGCATGTACCGGACTCGAACGGAACGCCGCTACCGCCGACTGCGCCGCTCCAACCAACCCACCCTGTTCCGCTCCCCCTTCTACGACCGTACCACTGGCGTTCTTATTAGATTTTATGGCGACTCCGACTTAGAAAAAAAACAACAACCACGAAAATATCGACGGTCGGCCGCGCCTTTGGCCGTTTTATTCTCCTCGTTCCTCGGCCCATATCCATTCGTTTCGTTCTCGCGCCGTTAGAATCGCACTCTGCCACAGCTGCGGCTCTGCCGACGTCGCTGCCAGTAGACGACTTATTGGCTTTAAGCGAATTTGAACGTTGCTCGAACTTTTATTCTACGTGTTGGTTTCATCGTGTGAGCAACTCTGAAACGCTACATATTCGCAGCGGAAACTGAAAAACACACAAACCGAAATCACAAAAACCAACCCTTCCCTCCCCTATAAAAAATACACTGAAACACAAAATCTCGCGCTACGCAAGTGTTACAAACGATATCTAAGAAAATGTATATTGTAATCAACCTACAAATCTAAGAGATTTTACAATATTTTTTTTAAGTGTTGAACCTAAAAAGTGCTTTAAACAACAACAATAACAACTACCAAAATGCCTTATAACAGCGTCACACTTTAGTGAAACAAGAAGAAGTGTTAGTCCCCACCCCTTTTGCTAAATACCCATTTAAAACTCAAAAAATAAGGATACCCAAACAGGTGTCCGCTTGCCAAAAGGCCAACGAAACACACCGGAGACAATCGGAATCATCAGCACGTGGGCAGAGCGCGTTTGAAGGAGAAGACTCCCCAACAGGTGAGATTCATTCGAAAGTCCAGATGTTTATCCCAGCTCAGTTCTTGGCTCTTCCCCAAGTACGTGACTTTCCTCACACGTTGCTGTATATTATCGTGAGTTGACCGCGAATAAACAACCATGCCTCCTTACCCCTAAATGATATTACTCTTTCCTTTCCTGGCTGGGAAAGTTCCCCCAATTCAAGCCTCTAACAAAGATCCCACAGTGCGCGGTAGGGTGGAGTTTTCATAACATTTATTTAAGTCCCCACTGCCCAAAGGTCAATTATTGTATATATTCCCTCGGGGAATACTTAATTCCCCCATAACACTATGAATTTCGATTTTCTTGAATAGTTATAGCGATAAGCAACGCATACGTACATATATATTTTATAGTAAAATCATTAATTCCTTGACAAACGCACTCGAGGACTAGCCATTGATAGAACTTTCGAGGAATTTTAGTTTGTAATGAATGATAGATAAGGTACATGGGTTGTTCATCACAAGGTATGTTACTAATATTAAAAAAGTTAAGGATGTTCGGTAATGTGCAGATAAAACAGAACAACCTAACTTTGCTTGTATGGAATAAGTTGACAAAACCGGTTGATATATAAAACATTAATTCAAAGTATTGAAGTATTAATTTTCGTACCGAAGAATCATTTGAGTGCTGGGAATAGCGCAGAACCATATTGTAGATACATTGGGGCTCCTATTGCCAACTCATCATCGGAGAAGGCACACAGACACGCAGGTTAACAGGTGTTTTGCTTCTTTCGCTTGCTCACTGGCTTCATTAATCAGCTTCTGCAGTCGCGCACACATTTGCACACGAGCTCTCACAGATACTTATTACTACAAATACGGATACACAAAACACCATTGCCAATTGGGTCTATCTCGTCTCGGGGTATCTCTTGATGCATTCATTAATAAATATTTTTATGTTCGGCATTACAACACTACAAACTCCCCAGCGGACTAGTAACAACCCCTTGGAATTCATGCCTCGGAGCCCAAAAATACGTTTCCCGAATCGCATTGCCATTTGCGCATTTTATTGCCAGCGAATTTATTTCAAAGAATTGCGGAAAATGCCACACCCCACTCTGGGTCAACCCTTGTTCCCCCGAGAATTGGGGGGTGGTGTGTTGCCTCTGTGGACAGTGTGTACAATGTGTACACTCTGTGTTCCAGAACTCTTAGCGAGTGCCAGTGAATGAGCGATGAATGATGCCCATTGTCGGCAGTCCACAACAACAGCTAACAGAAGAAGACGCAGATGTTACAGGAACTGTCAAAGGGGGTAGGGCCTTCCAGAGGCTGGCTGCGACGGGTGGGTGCTCTGAAGGGGGTCTAATGTTCCAAAAAAAAAAAAAAAAAAAAAGCGAACGCCAAGATGTTCGGGGCATGTGTGCGTGCGCATTGCGATTCTTGTCAATGGGGATTTCTCATATGTTCAACCACTCTAAAGAGAACCCTTTATAAGCAAAACGTTTGAAAATATTTGAAATACAATAATATTAAAAAACTATGTTTAGTTTCCTCTCTAAAATATCTGCACATATATTTAAAGTAAAATGAAAGAGCTGGAAGGACAGTCGTCAAACGACAAAGTGGCGTTTTAAGCACATAGTGCGCATTAATGAGTCCGTACTGAAGCTGGAAGTCTGAAAGTTGGGCTTAGTTTATGGCATTGAGACCTCTCAGCCAAGCAGCCAACCGTATAGCATATGCGATGCGGAGATGGCTGTCAAAAATTGCGGCTAGCGACACAAAACTGTCAGGCATTTTGTACAAAATTTCCACAACAAAAATATGTGAATTATGAATGCGAGCACATGTGTGCTCCCAAATCAATGAAAATTGTCACCGCAAACAAAACCAAATACGTGAACCCCTGAATCCATCTGTTTGCACAGAGCAATGCATGCGGCAAATGTAAACATTTCAACAGATTTGACCAACACCACATAAACTATAGTAAGCCAGGGGGCTGAGTGGACACAGGGCGGTCTGTGGTGTGGGCATTGCATCAACAAGCAATTCGCAAAGGCTGATGCAACTAAATCACCTGTAGTCGGTATAGGTATCTACAAAAATATCTATCAGATAAGAACTTTGAGAACAAGTTTAATTTCATTTTGGCTAGTATTATTTCATATCATTTTTATTATTAAACTTTTCTTCACTCAAAACCTCTCAGGCGAAAACAAACTACTGGCAAACGTTTGTAGTCCCCAAAAAAGGGGTGAGCATTTAAGCCCGCATTCGTCGTCTAGCAATCAGCTTAATTCTTTCAATTCACATTTAGGCAAATTGATTAGCCAATTGATGTATATTGATTATACGCAGAGCCTATCCCTTGCTGCGATTCCCGTTTCCAATCGCCATTCCCAATTCCCAATTCCCAGTTCCCTCGCCCACAAGCTTTCTCTTCCCATTTGGTCTTTCGAAGACTGAAATTGGTGTGCATTTTGATTTGTTAACGAGTATTTTCATTATATATTTACTTCATTCCAAATGAGTGTTAGTTGCTTTTCGAGAGGAGTGGGATAGTAAAGAGGGAGGGTAGCGGCTGAGGACGGGGGTTGGAGCTTGGCCAAAACCCAAACCGGTTTGCCATTTGTCAACTTGCCGACAATCGAAAATACGAAGCCCGCAAAAGCTTCACACTGAAAAAGTATCTTTAAATGAAACTGAAAAGAAGAAGCAGCTGTAGAATCACGAGAAGAATACCCCTTAAAGTATTAAATATTTGTATTAGAGTTCTAAAAATATTTGTATTAGAATACTAATAGAATTCTAAAATCTACGAATCGCATCTGGGTTTTAGTACAGCCACAAAATAATCGACCTCAGTCAGGGTCGATTTCCGATAGTTCTCGAGAACTATCGCTTTTTCCATTAGTAATCGCACTCGCTTCTCTTTCTTCCCAAAAATGTTTGCTAATAACCTTTGCCTTAACCTCTTCTTGGCCCTCGCCCCTCGTCATCCACCCAGTATCCCCACCCCTATCTGAACATTTGTTTGTTGTTTGTTTTTATTGTTTAAAATTCATCACGAATTTTATTTTGTTATGCGTTCTTTTTTGGCGTACACTTTGTTGTTCTTTTTCTGTACAATGATTTTTTTTGTTAATTTTTTCGGTTCGTTTCGTGCGCGTTGTTTTCGACGTCGACTTCTCTGCTTTTCAGCTAACCTTGAATCACATTAGTTTTGTTTTTGGCGGCTGTTTCTGATTTTCCTTCTCTTTCTAGTGCTTTTATTGTTACTGTAGCTGCTTATTTTCCAAAAAAAAAGTTACTAACAACAATAGGAACAGAAGTTACTTGGAGTGAAAACAGCTAAATAAAAGAAGCTCAAGAAGAAGAGAGATTATATACACATGTATGTATATGAAGGTGTGTTTGACGAACTGTGTGTAATATTCATGTGTGCGAACAGTAATCCAGGGAAAATACAGATGCGGTCAATCTAATAGAGTTTCCAATTTCTTTTTTAAAAACGTCGGTTGCTGTTGCCATACTAAACTAACTATACTCTTACCCTAAAAGCTTAGTTCCTTTTCAGAAATACAATAAAGAATGAATGAATAACTAATCAATTAGCATATTTAAACTTGGTGTTGGGCATATAGATACATACATATATACGGAAATCTTGCGGATTGCCGATTTTAAGATCTTGTAAAAACAAAAAATGCTAGCAATCTGAACACATCTGTTCGGGGGATACTATATGAGAAGGCACCGGACAATCAAATAAATAAATTTCATGTGGGGTCGGTTTTTGCCTCTCTACTTCTTCGTCATGAGTTTTTGGTTTAATTGTCGAATTTTCGTTAATTTTCGGAATCTTGTATCTGTATCTTGTGCTTTTCAGGCATTTTTCTCAGCCATTCTAGGTCTAGCATGTTTTGTCTATATATCACACTTTGTCGTTTCTGCTCCAAAAATTACTTAATTGCAGCCATATGTGAGGCCGGATTCCCGTGGCCCCGCCAGTTGCCCCGATGTTTGGCTAAACTGGAAATGTGTCGTCGTTGGTTTTGTATTCTCTATATACGCATTTCTTGGCGGACTGTATCTGTATTTTTGTATCTCAGTGTGTGTATCTATTTTAATTATTTTTGCCAAAAAGTAATGAGGGGACCCGAAACGAACGCCAAGTTTTCTCTCTTTCTCTCCTTTTTTATGCGCTGCCCCGTTTATATATTTATTTATGCGCCGTCTTTTATTTTATTTTACTTTGTCGCTGTTTGTTGTTGTCGCTGTTTGTAGTTGTTGTTATAGTCTATACTTTTTTTATATGCTGATCAATAAATTTCGATTCGTTGACATGCCGCCCGCCTTTTGGTCCCCCTCGAAACGCACGCACTGCCTTACACCTCGACATCTACAGGAACCACTCAATATAGTGAACTTTTATAGTCGTTAGATGCTCTCCCTGTCAATGAATAATCAATTTATTTTTCATCAGAAAAATCTGTCATGCTTTCTAAATGTCCTGTTGCCTCCCTTTTGAAAATCTTGAATACAGAAAAAACGTTTTCACTTTTTGTGGGGTGCGCTGTATACTTATCTCCTTTTCTCTGTCTTTCTTTTGGTCATTTCAATTGCAGTCGGCGTCACGCTCTACTGTGCTTTAATGGCCCAAACCGTCGGCAGAGGAGTCAACAGAGGGGGTTGAACAGGGGCTGAGGGGTGAGAATTTGCCTCAAGTTTGGCATTCAATGCACGTAATTCGGAACGACAAAATCAAATTCAAATTGAACTTGAAATGTGGCGGTGCTCGGAAACTGTGCTCAGAGGCGTGGCGGCGGAGGGCGCTTTAACAATCAGTTAGTAGCTTCTCACGCTTGCCAGGAAAAAACAAGAGGAACGGCCAGAAACCCATATTTTCAAGCCCTCAGAGAAGCAGACAAAGTAAAACATACAAAATACATACAAGATAACAAAGCGCGGGCCATTAAAACCCAAATACCCAAAAAAATCAACTGCGGCTAG